AAGAAGTATAAGTAATCCCTGGCTCACCTCAGGTGTTTGTGGGGTATTGGTCAGGGAGGTGGTAAAAGGTGAAGTGCTACATGTGCAGTTGCATGGGAAGGTGCCGTGGAGGGGTGAAGAATCAGGAATTGTTGCAGTGATGGAGGAGCAGGAGATGGGTGTTGAGGAGGGGAAGGTCACTGGAGTATGCTGATGGGAGGTAGGGGTGGAGATGTTTTTGCTGGTGGTATCCTATTGAGTTAGTAGAAAGGGCAGAAGACAATCCTTTGAATCTGGAGACTGATCAAATGAAAATGAGGACTGGGGAACACTATCACTGTTCTGGAAGGGAGGGGAAGTGGTGTAGGAAGTGTGAGAAATAGTTGAATACAACAGAGGGTCCTGTCAACCAATAAGCTGGAGGCGAGGCAGGGTGGGGGGGTGAGGGAATGGAAAAAAGTCCTCAGTTTATCAATAAGTATGTTTGAGAAGCACCATGGCAAAAGCTGGGCTTGGTCAGGAGAAATGTGACAGAAACAGAGAAACTGGGAGAATGGAATGGAGTCCTTGCAGGAAGCAGGGTGAGGGGATGCACAGCCCAGGTAACTGTGAGAGTCGATGAATTTGTATTTGCATAGCCTAACCCAGAAATGGAAATAGAAGTCAAGGAAGGGATTAGGCCAAGATGGACCTGGTGAAGGTGAAAGCAAGATTGAAATTGAAAGCATAATTGATGAATTTTTCCAATTCCAGTCAAGACTAGGAAGCAGCACTGATGACATCACTGAAGTATAGGGTTATAAATCACTACCCTTAGATTGTTTGTATCTTGTTGGCTTTGCTGTCAGCCAAGCAAGTCCATTTCCTCCTACTCACAGCTATTGCACTTCTCTATCCTTCCTCTATTACCAGGAGTACCCCTTTTGCTGTTCTGGTCTAGGTACTCTCACCATCTGCTTCAGTTCTTCCTTCTCCCCTCTGTCAAATCAAACAGATATAAACGTTTGAATACATGTAAGAACAGCTTCTTCCCTGTTGTTAACAGACTTCTGAATGAACCTCTCAAATGTTAATGTTGATCTCTCTGCGCCTTCTCCGCAGCTGTTACACTGTATTCTGCACTGTTCTGCTACCCTGATGCACTTTGTATGGTAGGATCTGCCTGCATAGCATGCAAAACAATACTTTTCACTGCATTTTGGTACATGTGATAACAATAAAATCAAACAATCAATTAAGTCAATTAACAGCAACAGAACAACCATTTTTTCAGCCTCTTTCAGTTCTGAGGAATCAAATCAGACCTAAAATATTAGCTCAAAAGACATGACAAAATTAACACATTAAAAAAAGAGAACAATTCATTTGTTTCATTACAATCAAGAACATGTTTAATTCATTACTTTCTGCAGCCATGTTTGATACCAATTGTTCAGATACCTCTACGAAGTGCATGACCACTTTTGCACAAAATCATATAATACATCTTTAAACTTACATTTAATAATCAACCTTTGAAATGTAAATTCATTTTCTAAAGGATGATTCAAAACAAACAAAGTTTTCTTTAAAATTTTTTAACAATTCTCAGGGGAATAAAGTGTAAAGTCTCTCTAGTACCCATAAACCTGAGTTCACAATTGAAGCTTGTTACATACTCAATGACACTAGTCCTCATTTAACTGGGGCAGCTCATCACTGTTTTTAATTCACAATTAATTTGCTGCTTCCACTTTAGTTCTATTAATAGATTTCGGTAGAGTGAAGTTCAATTTTGAAGCAATCGAAGGCATTATTGAAACTTTTTGTTTGCCGATGCATCTTTCTTTGCAAGCAACTCAATCTAAGAAATTAAATACTCCACACAATGTACTTCCAAGAATGAAGCTAAATGATACTAGTTGCATGTTCTAAATGTTTTGGAATTTGACATCATGCATTTTCATTATGTAGGCAGCCAGCAAAAAGGATAATGAAGAACAAGAATTTGACATGAGGGAGATTACTGTAGAGGGAGTGCAAGTGCCACACTACATAATTTATTGTCAAATTATCTTTGTGGGAAGCTTGGTATGTGCTGTCTTCTGTAGACCTGTAACTAACATCCAACCAGAAATGTTTATATTACCAATCTTCACCTTGCCTATCCTTACAAGGCAGACTCATTCAATTGTAATATTAAAGATTTATAGTACAGTACATAAGAAACATTACGAAAACATGGGATTTTTTTAAAAAACTTGACTTGCTAAGAAGTTTATAGCAAGCATGTAATTAGTGTACAGATACAAATTAATAAGTTGATTGCAGTTGAAATACAAGCTCATTATCAGAGACCTTGATGAGCAAAATGGATGTTGGCTTGTAAGAGAAGAAAAATAAATCAAAGCGACAGACAGTATTCCAAACTTCAGCTCAAGTTTCTGTTTGGAAGTGAAGTACCCAATTTGTCTTAAGACAGGTGAAAGCTTATTATTCCAGTGGAAATTCTGCAATAACTTCTGAATTTCACTTAGTAAAGGCAAAATTTAATTTCAGATTTTAATGGTCATTTTTGAGAACACTAACACAAAAGGCATCAACCACAGTTGCTATTATTCATTTATTAGTTCATACAGTTTAAAATAAAATGTAATCTTGCCTTTGTTCAACATCTCTCTTCATTAGCAACTAACCAGTGGCAATCTTTTCCAGTCAAAACAGCAAGTCAAAACAACCTAAGGCCTCCCTATAGAAGACTTACACATACAAAAACTCCCCCTCGTACTGAAGATGTAACTTCATAATTCCTCCCAGAATGACAGGCTATGTTTCCTGACCGCTTGTGTGTCATTCATTTAATTGATTATAGAGGTGGATTGAGAAGGATCCAGGTCGTCTGTAGTCTGGTGAAAGAGTAGATCATAAAATGGAAATCGGAAAATGGAACTCATTTGAATCACCTTCATTCTTGTCACCTCCCAAAAGGTTTTGCTTCCAGACAGTAGTCAGTTAGCAATATAGTTCAGAAATCATGGATTCCCAAGAATAAAGAAACTAAATGACTGCGAGTATTCCAGATTCTTAGGATAAACTTACTGGAGGGATGGTTAAACACTCAATCTGTCTGAAGTACCAACACAAGATCAAACTAAGGAGAGATTTACCAGCTTGGCACTCTCAGAAACACAATGCTGGAGAGCACCACGGCAGAACATCTCCCTTTTACTATTTTGATCAACTATCTTTTCATGGCATATTTTAACAGTTTAATTTCAACATTGACATATCAACCTAAAATTTCTAACAAGTTTTTTTAGGAGCTACAAAATGCAACATCTTGGAGAACTGTACACATTTTCACCTCATCCAAATGCTCAGCCTATCAAGGATTCTCAAAACATCCCTAATGCCTGACGATCAAGGGTATACAGAGATTAACAGAACTTGTCATGGGGGTGTAGAATTTTTTGGATGGAGGGGTTTTCCAACCTATGGCCTAATGAATTAGTGGGGAGGGTATACCCACTGATTACAGCAGCCCCAAAACTATTTAATGGCTTAAGAAACATTAATTGACTGGAGTCAGAATGTCCACCCCTCACTCAGCTAGACACCTTAGCTCGGAGAGCTGAGGCCAATCTATTTGGTGTGAGGATTTTAATGGAGGGATAGAGGCACCCTTACTGGGCTTCCTTCTGACCCTGAATCCACATGAGGAGCACACCTGAAGTAGTCAATAATTGGTCAAGTTAAGGCAAGGTTATATGTGCCTCCATGCCTGGCTCATCCCATGTAAAATTGTGGGCAGGTGAGAGGGCACCACCTTTACAAACCCATCCATATGCCAACTCATGTGCATGTGTGCATAAAGGTGTGTGTACACGTGTGTGAATGTGCATGTGTGGGGGGGGGGGGGCGGATGGAGAGTGTGTGCGTGTGGAGGGGGTGTGTGTGCGCGTGGAGATGTGAGAGTGAGGGTCTTGTTCACTAGTCAAACTCCAGCAGCCCCTGCAGAATCACTCAACAGCTGCTTTGCTCAACTATAGTAAATCAGTAGATGCACATATGAAGGAATGCATAAATATGTAAGGTGCATGCAGATGTCAGCTTTTTACAGGAGTTTAAAGTGATAGATCAGCAGTTTAGCGTAATAAGCTAAATTTTCTAAGACTTTAGCAACTCCCATGCACATTTTTAAACATAAAATCAGGTCTGAAGAAGTCACATCTGAAATACTGCCCATTTCAATTCAGATTATTGCCAAACCTGAATGGATTTTCCAGCACTTTCATTTTTAATCATTTAGATAAAAAGTGTGTAGAAGCAATACAAAACCATTGCCTTTAGCAAAGGTTCCTGATAAAGTAATTAATATGTATTTCTGTTAGTACGCTTAATAATTTGCTCCAACAGGTTGGACGACAACCAGTCAACGCTGGTACTGGAGTTTAAATTCAGCTCCCAGGGCTAGGGTATTCTGCACAGTTCCGGAAACCACATTATAGGAGGGATGTGATGTCACTGGAGTGGGTGCAGAGGAGATTTACCAGGATGTTTCCTGGGCTAGAAAGTCTCAGTTGTGGAGAGAGATCAGACAGGCTGGGATAACAAGGTGTAGAGCTGGATTAACACAGCAGGCCAAGCAGCATCAGAGGAGCAGGAAAGCTGACGTTTCGGGCCTAGACCCTTCATCAGAAATGGGGGAGGGGAAGGGGGTTCTGAAATAAATAGGGAGAGAGAGGGAGGCGGATAGAAGATGGATAAAAGGAGAAGATAGGTGGAGAGGAGACAGATAGGTCAAAAAGGCGGGGATGGAGCCAGTAAAAGGTGAGTGTAGGTGGGGAGTTAGGGAGGAGATAGGTCAGTCCAGGGAGGACGGACAGGTCAAGGGGGCGGGATGAGGTTAGTAGGTAGGAGATGGGGGTGGGGCTTGAGGTGGGAGGTGGGGAAAGGTGGGAGGAAGAACAGGTTAGGGAGGCAGGGACGAGCTGGGCTGGTTTTGGGATGCAGTAGGGGGAGGGGAGATTTTGAAGCTTGTGAAATTGTTTTCCCTGGAGCAGAGGAGATTGAGAGGGACAAGATTCAGATGTATAAAATTATGAGGGGTACAAATTAGGTAGACAGGAAAAGACTCTTTCCACTTAATGGAGGGATCATTGACCAGGGGATATAGATTTAAAGTAAGGGGTAAAAGGTTTAGAGGAGATGTGAGGAGAAACTTTTTAACCCAGAGGGAGATGGGAATCTGGTACTCATTGCCTGTAAGGGTGGTAGAGGTAGGAACCCTCAGAATAATTTAGTAGTATTAAAACGTGCACTTTTGATGCCAAGGTGTTTAAGGCTATGGGCCAAGTGCTGGGAAACAGGAGTAGAATAGTGAGGTGGTTGTTTTTGACCATGGGCGTGATGGGCCAAAGAGCCTTTCTCGGTGCTGTAGATCTTTATGACTACCAGTTGGGGATGCTATGATCAGCTTCAGTGTCCCTGGATTTAGAAGTGATGAGGACAGGGTAAAGCTCCACAGTTGTTTTCTGGAGTTAAACAGTCTGCAATATACAGTGTCAGGGCTCGCCAATAACAAGTGACCACCAGTGGGAGCTTGCAAAAGCAATTACCATCCATGGAACTATAGTTCAGCAAGTTGGTGAACATTATTCAGAGAAGTGAAGGGTATAAAAAGTAAGCAAGAAGAATGCACAGATTGTCCTGGGATGATTGCCTGAGAATCTTTTGTGTTTGCTGACTATAAAATAGTCTTAAATGAAAGAAATTCAGAGCTTCAATGCATTTTCTAGTGGCCATAATAGGGTAATAGCAAAATAAAACTAACCACATTCAACCACTACCTTTGCAATTTCAAAGAAAGATCACAGGATGGCTGATGTTGGGAATGGAAAGATGTCACAGCAGTATGGATTAGGGTACTCAAGATGCTCAAAGCTAGGATTCTTGAACCTGGGCTAAAATCTAATTGTTGTTGAGATGTGACAATCGATCTCAGTCTTTTGATTCAGGATTGGAAAATTGGCTGAGTTTTTGCTAAAGCAGGGGGCATGCTTGACACAGGACAACCTAACGCTAACAATGAATGCTCAAAGCAAAAATAATGCCCCATTCTTCATTATTAACATCAGTCACATTGATGAGATCAAAGTTCACCAATAAAGTCATTTAAAATATTCTACAATTCAACTAAGTATTAGATTTTTGCCACTCAATTTCAGGTAACTTCATCAATTGATGCGCAGAAAATAAAACACAATGGCGTGTCTCAAGACAGATGATGAGAACCTGCTTTGGTGTGGCTTGTTCCTTCTTTTCGGGGTTCAGTGAGGTGAGATTAACTGTGGTGTTGGTGATAAATGCAAAATAGATAGTTAAAAATTCGACAAACGGACAGAGTCAATAGGAAAAAAATAATTCCCTCCAGTATGTAAACAACGAGCTTCACTTCAACTAGATTTCTGTCTGCAATATTCCTATTAAAATTTCAGCTGGACTCTCCTTGCTTCATTACAGTCGTAGAAAATAATTCTTCCAGAATTTCTTTATCCAAGTTTCTTCCTGTGGTGGGGAGAAGGGGGAAACAAAATGTAGAATATAAATCCTAATATATTAATTTCCACTTGTTAAAGCAAAAACAAAGCTAACTAACATGAGGCAACACGCAGTACATATATTTTTGGCAGGATCAACATCACAGGTATTTAATACTTTAACGTTGCTTACATAATGCAAAACATGGAATCTGCAAATAAATCAAAGAGAAATACCTACAAATAATACAAGATTTGGGAGTCAGTTGTAGACATTCTGGGCCCAATAGCCTCCTTCTGCATTGTAACACTTCTGAGAGATATCAAATCTGAACCCAGCTAAGCAGGAATGAGCGGCTGACCTATTCTATGATTTTAAAAGTGTTCAGGAAATGCACTCTGGCCTCAGGCATTTTCATTACACCATCACATGCAGCCCAGACAATTACATTCTGGAAATCTCACTACAAGCATTTCTGGTTTTTTAAACTCTCTCTCCTTCAAGACAGTTATTAAAGCTGATCTCTTTGACCTTTCTTAATATTAGACCATAAAATTAGGCCATTTGGCCCATCAAATCTGCTCTACCATTCAATCACGGCTGATAAGTTTCGTGACCTCATTCTCCCACTTTCTCCCCGATCAAATATTGCTTCACTTAGTTCACTATCAAATTTTGTTTTATAAAGCTCCAGCAAAGAACCTTGGGATGTTTTACGATATTAAAGGTTCCATATAAATACAAGTTGTTGATGCATCAAAATGTTATTCCAACATCCATATGTATGGTATGTGTCAGCTTTTCAGCCACTAAATTGGACAATGGACTAAGCATAAATAACCAATAACAATTTGGAGCATCTTCAGTGTATAAAAAGCCGCAATGCAGTAATCAGACATCATTAGATGGCAACACAAAAGGCCAAATTACGACCTATAGTCAAGATATTGTTCAAGGAATGCGATTTTGAGAAAGAAAGAGAAGTGGATTTCACAGGGATTTAGACCAGAAGTTCCAGAGTGGGGAAACTCTGCAGCTGTAGGCATGGCTGCCAATGGTGGGGCCTAAAGGCGGAGATGGTTTCTTGATCAGGTGAGCAATCAAGGGTTATGGGAAAATGGAAGGAACATGGATGTGAGGAAGGTCAGATCAGCCATGATCCTATAGAATGGCACAGCAGGCTCAAGGGGCCGAATGGCCTTCTCCTGTTCCTATTGCTTAGAGTCTAAATGGGCTACTGTGTAAAGAGAGCATAGCAGTTTGTAATAGCAATGAGAGGCTCAAAACTTTAAAGGCCATTAAGACTTAAACACAAAAAAAAGGGAGAATTTTAAATTTGAGACTAAATATCAATAACAGAGACAGCAAGCACAATGGTGATGGCCAAGTATGACTTAGTATGGGATAGGATAAAGAGAGAAAAGCTCAAAATCAAAACAGATAGCTCAGCTTGGGAGGTGACTAGATTTACTTCAGTAACTTTGTAAACTTTTGTATTTAAAACAAATTGGAAATTTGTTTTTTTCCTTTCTGAACTGAACAATCAGGGTAATTGCTGTCACTCCCAGTATATAGTTACATCAGAACAAAATTTTAAAATGCAAAAAACATCAAAAGAAAAACAGAAGGTATTAGGATGTCACTTTTGTTGGTTACCTATAAATACAAATCTGTTGATTCTTTCACTGTCAATATTCCAGTTAACTGAGGTTTCTTCCAGCTCATATAGTTCATAGACTCCTTGGACAATCACCTGCTGTTGTTTTCCATATATTGACACAATGGCCTGTCAAACAATACATTTCACAATAAGAGATAGTAGGAACTGCAGATGCTGGAGAATCTGAGATAACAAGGTGTAGAGCTGGATGAACACAGCAGGCCAAGCAGCGTCATAGGAGCAGGAAGGCTGACGTTTCGGCCTTCCTGCTCGGCCTGCTGTGTTCATCCAGCTCTACACCTTGTTATCTCAGATTTTACCATAAACCTGTTTCAAGTTAAAAGTCAGCTTGCACAAACCTTAAAGAATTATAATCTGTGTATTAATGAATGTTAATTAATAAATCTGCAACCAATCCAAATGAATAGAAATACAAAATCAGAAAACAAAGAAGCATTATTAGTTGCTTTACAGCATCAGATCTGGATGTTTTACAAGGAAATTGAGCTCTATTTCAAAAACAAGCTATTATAGAAACTGATTATTAGAAATTGGACAAATTTTCTGGGGTCAGAGGCAGATTGTAGGATAAGAATGACAAAGGGTTTGGAAGGGAGAGAACATTGATTTGACTTGGAAATAGCAGGGGTTGAATTTTTCCAGGACTTGACTGATGTGGGCAATGCTGAGTCATTGGGAAATACAGTCAGAACCGAAAAATGACATTCTTGATGTCAAGAAAGTCTGATTTTTTTTTCTTCAATGTTTTAACGGCTAGATGAGAATCTCATGTGATCAGCAAGGAACAGGCATGTATTAACATCTCATTACAACTGAATCTTGTCTCATTTATATGCAGTCTGCTATTTTCCCAGGTATTGAAGAGAATGGGACAGTGACAATTCCTGATATAAAAATTTGAGCAGGTCCCTGGTGGCTGCAGCTCACCAGTGTCTTTTCTAGCTTACTATAAACTGCTCCCAATCCTCATTTTTCTTGGCTAACTTATATGCTTCTTCCTTATTTCCTTTGTTAGCCATGGATTGGCCCTCTTACCCATTTTGCTTTTGCGACAGACAGGAGTAAACAGTTGTTGCAGTTCTCTCATGCGTTCCTTGAATGTTCACCGTTGCCTATCCACTGTCATCCCTTTAAGCAACTCTCCCCAATCTATCAAGGCCAACTCATGCCTCATATCTTCATAGCTTCCTTTATTAAGATTCAGCATCCTAGTCTCCAAATCAACTGCCTCACTCTCCACCTTGATAAAAAATTCTATGTTATAGTCACTCAACTCCAAAGGGTCTCGCACAGCTAGATTGATAATGATGCTTTTCTCATTACACAGTACCCAGTCTAAGATGGGCTGCTCTCTAGTTAGTTCCTCCATATATTGGTCTAGAAAACCATCCTGTACACACTCCAGGAATTCCTCCTCTATGGCATTGTGGCTAATTTGATTTGCCCAATCTATGTGCAGATTAAAATCACCGATAATCCCTTATCACATGCATCTCTAATTTTCTGTTTAATGCCATTCCCAAAATCACCATTGCAGTCTGGGGGTCTACATATGACACCCACCAATGTTTTTTGCCCCTTGGTATCCTTAACTCTCCCCATACAGACTCCAAATTGTTAGAGCTAATATCCTCTCTCACTATTGTGTTAATTTTCTCTTTAACCAGCAATGCCACTCCACCACCTTTTCCTTTTTTCCCTGCCCTTCCTGAAAATACTGAATACCCTGGAACATTCAGTTTCCATGCCTGGTCATCCTGCAGCCATGTCTCCGCAGTCCCAATTATATCGTGCCTGTTTACATCTATCTGCACCTTCATCTACTGTATTACAGATGTTCTATGTATGTAAGCTTGTCTTTTTGACATTGTTTGTTTCAGTTCTTTTTTTCTCAATAGCCCGGTTTGAATTTTGTCCTTGGTTTCTCAGCCTATCACTTTTCTTATTGCCTTTTCTACCTTTTGTTTTTGTCCTCAATCCCTCCTTCTTGGACTCCTTATATAGATTCTCAACCCTCTGGCATATTAGTTTAAATCCTCCCCAGCTGCTCTAGCAAGCACTCCCCCAGGACATCAGTCCCAGTCCTGCCCAGGTGTAACCTGTCCAATTTGTACAGGTCCCACCTCCCCACAAAACTGGTTCCAAAGCCCCAGGAATCTGAAACCCTCCCCTGACACCATCTTTTCAGCCATGTATTCATCGGATATATCCTGCCATGTCTACTCTAACTAGCACGTGGCACAGGTTGTAAACCTGAGCTGACTACCCTTGAGATCCAATTTCTTAACTTTCTTCCGAGCTCACTGTATTCTGCTTTTAGGACCTCATCCCTATGTTGTTTGTCGGATGTGTACCCATGACCACTGGCTGTTCACCCGCCACCCCCCAAATGTTCCGTACCCGCTCCAAGATATCCTTGACCCTAGCACCAGGGAAGCAACGTACCACCCTGGAGTCTCGTTTGTGGTCACAGAAACACCCGTCTGTTCCCCTCAAGTCCTCTAACTATTGCCCTGGCACACTTTTTACCCCTCCCCTCTGCAGCAGAACCAACCGTGGTGCAATGAGTTTGGCTATTTTCCTGAGAGGTCATCCCCCCCAAACAGTATCCAAAACAGAGCTGAGCTTGCCTTCTTTGGGCTTGCTCACTTTATGCCTTCTTGGATGTGCACAGCATTTTTACTTTGCTTTTTAGCGCAGACAGGGAGCCAGGCAGCAATGAGCAGTCGGGGGCTGGTCCTTCTCCACTCAGGAAAGGTACTGAAGTGTCCTGAGTGAGGGGAAAATGCAGGGTGCAAGAAAGTTTAGTTACTTTTTTTTATGTGGGGGGGGGGGGGGGGGGTTGGGTTGGGGTAGTAGGGTGGATAAAAGCCAAATGAGGGAAGATGCTGCAGAATATAATGAGGATGTCAACCATGATGGGAGCTGGGTGCAATGGCAAATTTAGAGAGCTGGGAGACAGGCACAGTGGGGATTTCAATGCTGCTGAGTATGAATTAGAAAAAGAGCAGCACAGTGGTGGTAGGGTACATACTGAATGGGCTGAGCAGTATAGAATTGTGAGAGAAAATTCATTGGGACTGATGAAAGGAAAGGAAACATGAAATTCCCCAAAACTGACACTTAGCTGAGTTCGGAGTTAATTCAGCCCTCGGCTTCTAACAAGAGGCTAAAGGAACTTTCCATCCAGTGCATGAGAATTTTATCTGTTCCACAAAAAGCTTCAGTGTCAAATGGACAAAAGTCTGGCAAGCTCGAGATCCTCCACCAATGTTACTGCTGCTCCGACCTTCTCAGTACCCAGCAGTCTTAATGCCAGAAAAAAACTGGGATCCCAACCACTGACTGGGTGGTTCGCAGGGGGGAGGAGGCGGGTTGAAGGGGCAAGGGGGCAACCAGAGGAGGGCACAAACAGCTTGAAAGACTGCCAACTAAAATCAGCAAGATCAGCTTTCTTACAACATTGTAGCTTGCTCCCAACGACAAGCACAAAAATCAACACGACAGGTCGCTCTGATTTCTCTGCTCCCCTTGTCCTTTCTAACACATCTCCCTCTGAACTTAGTGTTCTCTACGTTCACAGATCTAACCTTGACTTTTGTCACCAAGTCTGCCCACAAGGGTGGAGCTGTTGTTGCCTGGTGTCCTGACCTCTACATTGTGGAGTGTGAGTGCCATCTCTCGGACATCTCCTCCTATCTCCCCTGGACCATGACCCTACCATAAAGCTATTGCTTTCACAGCCTTCACCTCACCTCATCTGGGTCTCATGAAGAAACTTATTTTTATTTTCCATTCTATCTAATAAACTTCGATACTCTTTTGTTAAAAAGTACATGGGCAGCTTCTTGTGACTATATTCAGTGACTAACCACCAGGATATATAAACCACACTTTGGAATCTGACTTGTCCAGTATTACCATCAGTTTGGTCAAAACACCATGAACAAATGAAGAAAAATGTTAATTAGAATATGCAAGTAATTTTGTGCAATCCACTTACATGCAAGAAAATAAGTCAATAAAAATGTCTGTTGTTTGGAAATTGTTGAATGCTTTGAAATTCTGTTGTGATTTAATTTCCTATTAAAACAAAATTGATGTGACAGCATTTATACAATTCACCTGCATTTCTTTAAGTGCAGATTGAGGTGTACTTTTGTGGAGGACAATTGGAGCATGTCTAAACAGAGCTTGAACTTATGGTACTTATCACGAGGATCTTTTCGTCCCATAGCCAAATGGCATTTCATGTGTGTAAGCTTAGAGAGTTGAAATAGCCCATACAATCAAGGGGACACCAGAAATTAAAGCTGAGTCTGTACCATTTCCAAATATATGATTTCCAACAGGTATCACTCGATAATAGGAGCAGGTATCAGGAAGTACTGACTATTTAATTAGTAATCTAGCCAATGTATCCTAATACTAACTGCATTGAACTAATTAAGCACAGAGAAGAAATAAAATCTAGAAGCATATTGGTTCACATGGCTCTGTACCAAATCTGGTGGTGTAATCACTCATAAAGCTAATCAAAAAGGTGCCACTAGAACTAATTTCACGACAAATGAATTCTAAAAATCATGAAATTCCTTTCACCAAAATTTCACTTCATTTTTGTTTTTCCATTAAATCTTTTCTAAAAAGTGAATTGAGTTTCACTTTTAAAAACGGTGCTGATGCACTCAAATAGAGCAAAGAACTGCAGATGATAATTATCTGAAAGAAAGATAGAAACTGCCGGAGAAACTTCAATAGGTCTGTGAAGAGAGAGAAACAGTGTTAACGTTTTGAATCCAATGACCCTTCTTCTGAACCTTACGCTCTGATTCTCTTATTAACATCACAATTGAAAGCAAAACCATGAAATTATATCAATATGTAACATCATTCAACATAGCTCTTCTTCACATTATGCCCTAAAGCCAAATGGCTGCTGGTAAAATCTAAATTCAGGCAATAAATCTGGAATAAAATGCTAGTCAAGTGATGACCATGTGACTCCTGTTGATTGTCATCAAACCCATCTGGGTTCACTAATAATCTTTAAGAAAATTGGACCCAAAGCAAAGTTCTTAAGTCTTAACAAAAACAAAGAACTGTGGATGCTGGAAATCAGAAACATGAACAGAAATGGTCTGAAAAGCTCAGCAGGTCTAGCAGCATCTGTGGCGAGAAAGCAGAGTCAGCCCTTTGGGTCAAGTGACCTTTTGGGTCTTCCAGCAATTTCTGTTTTTGCTGTCGTCTCTTCATTGCCCACAAAGACTGACCAGGGATGGACAACAAATACTGGCATTGCTCGCGATGCCCACATCCTGAGAAAGAACACAAATAGTGTATTATTAATTACCTTTAAACGTATGATATCCATTGGATCGCCTGACTTATTCTTCAAACATTTTTCCCATAAAAGATTCTAAAATGAAAGAAGAAAATCCCGTATTTATATCATGTTTTACCACATTCCAATGTATTGAAGTTTTATTTTTGAGGTGCAGTTACTGCTGTTATGACAGTGAACTTTTCCAATTTCTACACATCCAGATGCAACATTTAGCAAAAGGATAAATAACCAGCTCATCTATCTAATGGCATTGGTTGAGGACAAACATTAGTCAAGATACTGGAAATTCCCTGTTTTTTTTTTAGTGTCTTGGGATCTCTCATATCAAGGCAGACAATTAGAAGGCCTTAGTTTAGTGTCTATTCTGAAAGACTAGGATCCGAAAATGGATTGCTTGAAGCCTTCATCTTTAATTATGTGCTGAGATGTTGAAAGGAGATTTGAATCCACAATATGTTAATTCAGATGAAAACGTGACCAACAAGTTTAACAGCACCTAACTCTCCAATTTTTACATAGATCAATGGTCACAGAATATCTTTACATACAGAAGAAATACAAAATGACGATTTTGAAGTCAATTCAGCGCACCTTCCACCAAAACCCTTGACCAAAGGACGGTGAATCTGATCAGCATAAACATCTCAGATGCAATTCAGTGTGATTGATAAAGCTAAGAGGGGTTTTGGATACATTACACAACAAATGCTTTTTGTAACACTAAGGTTTTCCTCATATTGATGGCCATAGTTACTGCAACGTACTGAAATGCTAGTACCATGTTTCTTTCTTATTTTGTGAAAATGAAAGATTAGGAAGGACATGGTACATGGTGCACTTCATCACTTCACCGTATATACTTTACCTTGGACAAGTGAAATACAGATTCATACCCAAATTATCCACACAAAGATTCATAAACAATGCCACAGGCACCATAGTATCAAAATCTGACAGCACTCATTCCACAGGAACGAAATTCATTCGTTTAATTATTTTTGAGGCTGTTATTTATTTGATTTTAAGATTTGCTTCTAAAATATTCACTGCTCTGCATACCATGGCCCACAATGAACAAAATCTAGAATGGAATAAATAGCTAAACATTAAACAACCTTGTTTTGAAAATGCATGTAATTTATAGTTAGCCTCAAATATCTTCTTACAAGTTTATACCTCTTCAAAAAGAAAATATATTCAAAAGAAGGTATTGACAAAGCACACCTGAAGGTATATATTTAAGTCTTCTTCGAGAATGGTGCCAGGGACTTCGAATGTAACTGTAATGATTCTCTGCAATAAATGAAAAAAAAATGCACATTGAACTGGCAAAAGCTTCACACTACACTCAATATAGTCAGAAGTCACACGACCCCAGGTTGTGGTCCAACAGATTTATTTAAAATCACAAGCTTTTGGAGTGCTGCTCCTTCTTCAGGTGAAGTGGAGGAAGGTGGACAAGCACAGACTTTATAGGCGGAAAGATAATTCCAGACAATTATGAGAGTCAAAAGATCAGTAGAAATAGTGAGTGGAATGTCGACAGGCTGAACAACAAGTCTTTGCAAGTGACTGAAAGTGTCAACAGATTAATACAAATGAGTAAAGTGTCAACAGCTGAACAACAATGAAGGGATGACCTAGTAAGGTAGAGAGATAATTACAAATAATGAATAATAAGATGGTGCTAGAGACAAGCCAAATGGCTGGAACAACATGAGTAGGTATCTGAGTCACGTGACGAGGGTCTAACCAAAGTAACAAGTAATCAAAAACTGTACAAACTAATTAAGGTAGAGAGATAATCACAAGTAATTAGTTTGTACAGTTTTTGATTACTTGTTACTTTGGTTAGACCCTCATCATGTGACTCTGGACAATACCACAACAATACTTTCAGCAGGCAAGTTCCAAAGTACATCCTAGTGCCCATGACCCTACCCTGACCCAAAAATGTAACAACATCAATTAAGCCATTTTGAAGCTCTGTCTTGATTTATCTCTGCACGTACTACAGTGTAGCTTGCAGCTCACCTCTACTTTACTAGAACATCCATAATCTTAGACAAAGATGCTTATAGTGGGAAGCATGTGTCTCAATTTTCTCAAGTCAGCTCTGAATTGTCACTGCAGACATCACTCAGTTCAGAAACTGCACCTGCAGAACCCTATAAATGTAGCCAAGAATCTGCAAACTGATCAGGAAAACTGCGATAAGACACAAGTTTTTCATAGAATCATCTAGTTCAGAGGCCCTTCAGGCCATCAAGTCTGCATCGCCAAGAACATACTACTACCACTTTGCAGGACTGGGCTTATAGCCTTGAATATTATGTACTTTAAAAGATCACTTAAGTTTTTTTTTGAAGGTTGAGGTTTCCCATGTCAACTACCCTCCCGATTCCCACTGCTCTCTGGGTGGAACTATTACCTCAAATCCCCTCTAAAACTTCCTTCTTTTCACCTTAAAAATATGTCCTCATTGTTACTGACCCTTTGACTAAGCTGCTTCCTATCCACCCTGTCCAAACCCCTCAATCTTGCACACATCAATCAGGTCCCTCAACTATCTCTTCATCGCTGCAATGCTCCATCCCAGGCAACGTCCTGATGAATTGCCTCTCCACCCCCTCCAGGGCAATCACATCCTTCCTATAGTATGGGAGCCAGAACTGCACACAGTATTCTAGTTGTGGACCATACAGATATCAGGCATCCCACAATACTGCAAATTAAACACATTACACATCTAAACAATCCAGAGCTTCTGTATGTTATATGTGAGGTGTGTAGTTATCCATTGAAGGACACATAGATAGTGTTAAAGATTTAAATATTTGCAGAAAAACAGTGGTTGCGGTTTGCAGGAAATTGTAATAATTATTGTCGCAGGATTCCAAAGTTGACGTAATCAGCAGAAATTTATTGAAGCTCTCTATTGTTAAAGTCAAGGTCACTAAATGGTACACCTTTTAAAACAGCACAGAGTTCCTCAGCAACGTGTAGGTACGATGTTACTACCTTCTGTGATGCCATATACAGTTAATATGAACAAAAGATACTGGACCTAATTGCAAAGCTGGGCAGAGAGAGCTTTACTGCAGTCACTTTCTGCTGACATACTTAAAAGATTGATGCACAATATACAAAAGGCTGAAAAATGAAAATGTCATAAAATCTATTGTTTGTGTTAATATTTTACTGCTGCATAGTACATACATAGATATAATTGAAGCAGATAAGAATATGCAGCCAAATCCTGAACATTGTAATTATGGATGTTTAAATAAAACATTCAAATGACTAAACTATATTTGATAGCAAAATGCTGAAAACATAGTGAACTTTATGAAATCTAGTTACCTTATCAAGGTGAGGGTGGCCTGACTGCACAAGGCATAATTTTTCCTGCAAACTGAACAAAATAACTATTGGCAGCATAACTGTAATAATTTTCTTTCAAAGATGCATTCAACTATAGTAATCGCGCAGATGCATAAAAATCACTTGAGGGTCAAAACAATAATCAGCAAATGGAGTACATTACTGTAAAAGTAGGAAAATGCCTGTGGACAAGGTACAGGATCATTGTTCTCACTCAATTGCTCTATAAAATGGCTTAGTCTCATTAAGACAGTTTTCCAAAGCCAAGAACGGACAATGGTTTCACATGCAAAGTCCATAGGATTCAACATCTATTGCCATACTAAATAACAATGATCACACTCCACACTGATTGAAAGAATAGAGAAGTACATTACAACATATGGCCCCAATCACATTTAGAGTCATAGAGCTGTACAGCACGGAAACAGACCCTTCAATCCAACTCATCCATGCTGTCTAGATATCCTGAATTAATCTGGTCCCATTTTCCAGCATTTGGCCCATATTCCTCAACACCCTTCCTATTCATATACCCATCCACATGTCTTTTAAATGTTGTAATTGTACCAGCCTCCACCACTTCCTCTGGCAACTCATTCCATACACACACCAGCCTCTGCATGAAAAAGTTGCTGCTTATGTTCCTTTTAAATCTTTCCCCTCTCACCCTACACCTATGCCCCTCTTGTTTTGGACACGCCCACCCTAGGGAAAAGACCTTGGCTATTCACCCGATCCATGCCCCTCATGATTTTATAAATTTCTATAATATCACCCCTCAGCCTCCAATGCTCCAGGAAAAATAGCCCCAGCCTATTCAGCCTCTCCCTATAGCTCAAACCCTCCAACCCTGGCAACATCCTTGTAAATCTTTTCTGTACCCTTTCACGTTTCACAACATCCTTTCTATAGCAGGGGGACCAGAACTGCGCAGTATTCCAAAATTAGCCTAACCAATGTCCTGTACAGCTGCAACATGACCTCTCAACTCCTATATTCATGCACTAACCAATAAAGGCAAGCATACCAAACACTTCTTCACTATCCTGTCTACATGAAACTCCAGTTTCAAGGAACTATGAGCCTGTACTCCAAGGTCTCTTCTGTAATACGCTTTTAAAAGGCATTCAGTTGTAGGTACGATATATCAAAATGAACAAAGTCAACAATGGTAGCTAACTGATGATCAAATTAGTTTATTTATTGTTTATTACTGTGTTAAATCATTGTTATTAGATTGTGTTTTTTTAAGAGTTATAATTTTAACATCAAAATTATTTGATCATATTGGCAATGTTTAGCAAAAAAAATAGTCCACTTCAACACTTAGTCACTTGAATTGTCCCTCAAAAATCAATTGTAGACAGTTTATTTTTTTGAGAGAATATGGCAGAAACTAAATAATGCCAGCAATCTTTTTTTCTTGAAGGTTAACATTCAACATCTGAAAATGTTCAAGTGTACCTAAAGCTTCACAAAAACTTTATATCGGAGTTAGCAAAGTCTTCAGACATTTCTATAGCTAGCAATCATAGAATCCCTACAGTGTGGAAACAGGCCCTTCAGCCCAACAAGTCCATACCAACCCTTGGAGCATCTCACCCAGACCCATCCCCCTATAACCCACCTAATCTACAGACCCCTGAACACTACGGTCAATTTAGCATGGCCAATCCACCTAACCTGCACAGCTTTGGACTGTGGGAGGAAACTGGAGCGCCTGGAGGAAACCCACGCAGACACAGGGAGAATGTCTGTGTGGAGTTTGCACAGTCGCCCGAGGCTGGAATTGAACCCGGGTCCCTGGTGCTGTGAGGTAGCAGTGCTAACCACTGAGCCACCGTGCCATGCTGTATATTGGCGTACATTTCTTTTATTCATTTGAGAGATGTGGGCATTGCTGGCTGGACCAGCCTTTATTGCCAGTTCCTAGTTGCGAGCTGCCTTCTTGAACCGCTGCACTCCATGTGCTGCGAGTTGACCCACGACGCCCTAAAGGAGGGAATTCCAGGATTTTGACCCAGCAGCACTAAAGGAATGTTGATATATTTCCAAGTCAGGACAGGGAGTAGCTTCATGGGGAACTAAACTAATAAGAGAGCCAGTTTCAGCCCCCACCACCAACAGCAATATAAACACGGCAGGATTGCCAGCAAAGAAAGTGACAACCAGAAAACCAAAGAATCAGAAACAATAACAACATCTGGAGACTGCAAAAGACAGAGTGGAAATATTTACATCTATCGATCGATCTTCGGCCAGAATGTAGAGCAGATGATCCATTGCAGCCTCATCACAGATACCAATCTTCAGCCAATTCGATTCACTCCATATGAAATTATGAAATGACTGAGGACAGCGGATACTGCAAATGCTGTGGGCCCCTCTGGTGACACCCCTAGCCAAGCTGTTCCAATACAGCTACAACACTAGCTTCTAGCCAACCATCTGGAAAAATGCCTCAATATATCCTTTTCACAAAATAATGGGAGAAATGCAACCCAGCCAGTTACGATCCAACCAAGCTCCAAATCAGTCAGCAGTAAGTGGTGGGAAGGGTTACCAACAGTGCTATCAACTGTCATGTAAACGAATAATCTGCTCATTGATACTCAGCTTGGGTTCCACCAGAGCCAGCTGGCTCCTGATCTCATTACAGCCTTGGTAAAAAGAGCTGAATTCCAGAGGCGAGGTGACAGTGACTGCTCTTGACATCAAGGCCACATTTGACTAGATATGACATCAAGAAGCCCAAATGAAACTGGAGTCAATCCGAATCAGAAGCAAACTCTCTGCTGCTTGGAGTCATATCTGGCACATAGGAAGATGGTTGTGGTTGTTGGAGGTCAGTCATCTCAGCTCCAGGACATCTCTGCAGGAATTCCTCAGGATAGTGTCCTACACCCAACAATCTTCAGCTGCTTCATCAATGACCTTCCCTCCATCATATGGAGACATTTGCTGATGACTGTACAATGCTCAGTGTCATTCATGACTCTTCAGAGACTGTACTCATATGCAGCAAAACCAGGACAACATCCAAGCAGCAAGTAAAAGTCACACCATACGTGGCAGGCAATAACCATCTCAAGAGAGAAATCTAACCCTCACTGCTTAACTTTCATTGGCATTAGCATGGCTGAATCTCCTATTATCAACATCTGCAGTACAACTAATCAGAAACAGAAATGGACCAGCCAAATTAGTAGTGGCTACATGAGCAGTTCAGGGGCTGGGAATTCTGCAGCAAACAACACACCATGTAATTTCTTAAAGCCTGTCGCCCAACAACAAGGCACAAGTCAGGAGTGTGTTAGAATAGTCCTCACTTGCCTGGCCAAGAAAACTCAAGAAGCTCAACATCATCCAGGACAAAGCAGCCTGCTTGAATGGCATCTCATCCATGACGTTCAGTACTGATTCTGTCTACCAACAATGCACAGTGGCAACATGTATCATCTCCAAGGTGGACTGCAGTATCTCACATTTGACAACACCTTTCAAACCTGTTACCACTTCTATCTGGAAGGACAAGGGCAGCAGAGACTTGGGAACAGCAGCTACCTTTTTGTATACTGAATGTCATGAGCAGAAAATCAATACAATTATTAGTGCAATGACAAATGTCTAACATTAAGTGATATTATTCATCTCACCAGTCTGTATTTTCCTTGTTAAAGAAATTTTTCAATGCATAAATTGGCTTTCGAGAGAAGATGACAAATAAAGACTACAGTATATCATGGATTTGAAATATACCTTTCACTGGCTTGGCTATCGAAAGCATGCAAATCAAGAACTTCGCTAAGTTCAACCCTGAAAGACAATAAACAAAATAAGCAGCTTTAAGACTAAATACATGACAATACGCAAGCTGTAGCATATTATAAAATAATCAGAGGCTTGGCTGTGATGTGAAGTATAAAAGCAAGTCACATTTCTGTTTCCTATAATACATGCAAATAGTTTGATCAAGGACAAAATTTCTTATTGAGCTAACATCAGACCTGAGCTCATACAATCAACAAATCATCTAATCATATCAGAGATGCTATTGTATCACTCAGCAGAAATGTAGTAGTGTTTTAATTTGCTGCAGGATCCATCTACTGCAGTCAGAAGATGGACAGGTTGGGGGAGGAGAGATTTTGAAGCTGGTGAAGTCAATATCCAGGCCATTGGGCTGTAAGGTCCCAAAGTGAAATATCAGGTGTTGTTCCTCCAGTTAATGTTTGGCCTCACTCTGACAATGGAGGAGGCCAAGGATGGTCATGTCACCAGAGGATGGGAGGGGAGTTAAAGTGGATGGCATATCGTATATATGGTTAAAAGTCGAAAGAACTGTGGATGCTGGAAACCAGAAAAAAAAACAGGAATTCCTGAAAAAGGTCAACAGGTCTGGCAGCATCTGCGGAGAGAAATCAGAGTTAACGTTTCAGGTCCAGAGACCTTTCCTCAGGACTCAAACTCAAAACTCCGTTCTGAGGAAGGGTCACTTGACCCAAAACATTAACTTTGCTTTCTCTCTATAGGTGCTGCCAGACCTGTGCTTTTCTACCAATTTCTGTTTTTGTTATTGTTGTTGTATATACGATTGCTTGACAGTCAGAACTCAATTATTGCTTTAAAAAAGTCATGCTGTTGAAGCTTTATATATTGTACTCATCAGGACAGAGCCACAAGAATACCAAATCTCAAACGGAACAATAATTTGTATTACGTGAGCAGATGGTACTGATCGGTTGGCAAGTGAACTGATTGGTACTGGGTTTCCATGGAGAAAGCAGCAAGAAACAGTTAACTGGAAGATAAAACAAAGAACTGTGAATTCTGAAGATCTGAACACAGAGGTTGCTGGAGAAACTCAGCAAATCTGACAGCATGGAGACAGAAAGGACTGCCGACGCTGCAAGCTAGAGTCAAAAAGAGTGGAGCTGGAAAAGCACAGCAGGTCAGACAACATCTGAGCAGCAGGCAAGTCAAGGGTTCTGACCCGAAACATTCTTCAGGACTGGGGAGGGGGAGGGGAGCCTAGAAATAAACAGAGGGTAAGGGGTGGGGCTGTGGGGAGGGTAGGTGAAATAGAGATAGGTGAGTGCAGGTAAGGGGTTATTGTGGTTGGTCAGTGGTAAGGGTGGAGTGGATAGGTGAGTAGGAAGATGATGGACAGGTTAGGTTAGGGAGACATGGGATAATGCTGGGGGTGGAGAGATTTTGAAGCTGGTGAAGTCAATATCCAGGCCATTGGGCTGTAAGCTCCAAAGGTGAAATATCAGGTGTTCTTCCTCCAGTTAATGTTTGGCGTCACTCTGGACAGTGGAGGCGGCCAAGGCTGGTCAGGTCACCAGGGGAGTGGGTGGGGGAATTAAAAATGGATGATAATTGGAAGGTCGGGTTGGTTCATTCAGAGTGCAGGTGCTCTGTGAACCTGTCACTGAATCTGCGTTTGTCTCCCGATATAGAGGGGGCTGCATCGGGAGCAACGGATACTCTAGATGAGGTTGGATGAAGCGCAGGTGAATCTCTGGAAGGATTGTTTAAGGCCTCGGACGAAGGTGTGGGGGCAGGTGTAGCACCTCCTGTGGTTGCAGGGAAAGGTACCGGGTGTGATGGTGGGGTTGGTGGGGAGTGTGGAGCTGACGAGGGAGTCACAGAGTGAATAGTCCCTGCAGAAAGCAGACAGGGGTGGGGAAGGAAATATCTTTTTGGTGGTGGGACCTGATTGTAGGTGGTGGAAGTGTAGGAGGATGATGTGTTGGATTTGGAGGTTGGTGGGGTGGTATGTGAGGACTAAGGGGGCTCTATCTTTATTGCTGTTGGGGGGGGAGAAACAGAGTTCAAGGGCAGAAACATTGGAAAATGGGGGAGATGCAGTCGAGGGCATCCTTAATAACGGAGAAGGGGAAACTATGGTCCCTAAAAGTAGGAGGATATGTGAGAAGACCTAGAGTAGAACGCCTCAACTTGGGAGCATACGCAGCAGACGCGGAGGAACTCTGAGTATGGCATAGCATTTTTACAGGAGGGCGAGTGAGAGGAGATGTAGTCAAGGTCAGTAGGTTTGAAATAGACATCAGTGGTGAATTGGTTGCTGGAGATGGAGACAGAGGTCCAGAAGGGGAGGGAGGTGTCAGAAATAGTCCAGTGGAGAGAAAAGAGAGTTAACACTTCAAGTCCAGTGACTCTTCTTCAGAGCAGATTGGTCAATGCATTGCCATAGTGAATGCATGAGGAATTGCTGCCCTTCAAGCTGTGTTTAGTTGAAAAAAGTTAAAATGCATGGACACATTCCTTAAGTTGGCAAAAGGATAAAGGCTGTGCATGTACGCAGGATATTGGTATATATTATTACACAGTCATGAAATCAGTCTAAGACCTATGGTCCTGAAAAGGTGTCCAATCCACCTCAGATCACTCAAAAATTTAAGTAGCAGGTAAAACCAACCATTTCACTTCGCAATGCAGTAGCTACACAAGAGGCATCCCTCTAAAACAGGATGTTACTGTCAAACCAAAAAGACACCCTGTCTACCACACAAATCAGGAATATGATCGATGAATCTCAGCATCGGTATAAAGCCACATATGCAGGCTATTAGTGTGAACAAATGTCAGATCATATCAAGCAGTACATTCTAACAGTCGAAGCGTTGACCATAACCAACCCTATGTTCTTGCAAAACTCACAACCTTAAACTCTACAATTGGACAGCATTTGCTAAACAATTTTATTTTTGCTAAGAATCACACTAAAATCTAATTTAAGATTATTAGTTCAGCTTGTAGTATGGCTGACTTACATATGCTAGTAATTATACAAATTCACAACAGGGACCCTTGTTCTTTGCAAACAGAAAGAACACATCCAGACGTTACAATTTTTTCAAATGCACAAAAACATTTCCGGCCTAGGCCCTTCATCAGAAGAAGGTCATTTTCTGAAGAAGGGTCTAGGCCTGAAACGTCAGCTTTCCTGCCCCTCTGATGCTGCTTGGCCTGCTGTGTTCATCCAGCTCTACACCTTGTTATCTCAGATTCTCCAGAACCTGCAGTTCCTACTATCTCTCACTACTACTGACATTACTTTGCATTTCAGCTTTATAAAACACTTGCAGGAATTTTTCAAAGAGAAACCATGTAACATGCATTATTTCGAAAAATACTTTTCATTTATTTCCTGAACATTTTTTTGGTCTTCCCCTGAAAGGCACTGATTCATTGCTGGAATCAATAGATGTGAAGCTGGAAAAGCACAGCAGGTCAGACAGCAACTGAGCAGCAGGAAAGTCAGTGTTTTGGGCTGAAACCCTTCGTCAGGGCTGGGGAGGGGGAGCGCAGCCCAGATATAGGGTTGGGGGGGGGGGGGGGGTGGGGCAGGGGGGGGGGGTAGGTGGGATGGAGATAGATGGATGCAGGTAGGGGGTTATTGTAGTTGGTTAATGGGAAGGGTGGAGTGGATAGGTGAGTTGGAGAATGGACAGATTGGGGTTGGAGAGATTTTGAAGCTGGTTATTTTGCCTTGGAAGCTTACAGCCTCAATATTGACTTCACCAGCTTTTTCTCAAACACTATCTAAATATTAGATTGTCAGTTTAAAAATCAATCTTTCCATTTCTTACATATGAAGTAGATTTAAGGATTAATAATGAAGGGTTCTATTTAGATAAGTTCTTACATTTACTAAGTGCATTTAACTTCTGTCTCATGAATCAAAAATCAACAAAACAGAATACATAACATTTGATAAGACAGTAACTGCCAAGGGGATTCTTTATTTTAAAGGACTAGACATTTGTAGCAAGTAGTAAGATGCATAGGGAATATCAAGTTTTTTTTTTAAAATAATTTCTTTCGTGGAATGTGGGTGCTGTTGGCACAGCCAGTATTTCTTGCCCATCCATACTTGCTTTTGAACTGTGTTTTGGACTAGTGAGCCTCATACTTAGGGATGGATAAGAAATACTAGCCTTGCCAGCAACACGTACGTCCCATGCCAGAATAAAATGAAAACAAAAAATTGACAAATCTGCCGTCATTCTATTCTTTTCTCCAAGTGTGCTTTGAAATAGAAGACCTCCTTACCGAGAGAGTAAATAATAAAAACCTCACTTCCCTGCCTTCACACATACTCTTGACTTTAGATCAAAAATCTGTCTAACCCAGTTTCTACTGCTCTCTTGGGTGGAGAATCCCAAATGCTAAAGCACACTTCAGTGAAAAAATTTCTTTCAAATTGGGAGGCTCCATATGTTGAAATTATGTTCCCTGGTTCGAGATTTCTCCATGAGGGAAAACATCATCTCATTATTCACCCCATCGAGGTCCCTGAGAATCCATGTTTCAATAGAATTATTCTCATTTATCTAAATTCCGAGTGTAGGTCCAACCTGCTCACCTTTTCTCATGAGACAATAATGAGGAACCAACCTCATGACATCCAGTGAACAGCCTCCAATGAAAGTATCTGTCTCCTTAAATAAGATCAGAATTGTACTAATATTCTAGGCATGGTCTCACCAATGCCCTGTAGAATTTTAGCAGGTTTTCCCTTCTATAATAATACTTCAAATTCCCACACAATAAAGACTAACATACCATTTGCCTTCCTATTTCATTGTTGAACCTGCACGTTAACCAATTGGGATTTGTGCGCAAAGACACCCAACCACGCATGTACAGCTGCATTCCGCAGTTTCTCCCATTTAAATAACATTCTAATTATCCAACCTTAACTTCATATTTTCTCATAATATAGCAACTTTTTTGTCCACTCACTCAACAGACCTAAAACTTCTTTACAAATTCTGAATCCTCCTCACAACTTGCTTTCCTACCAACCTTTGCACTGTCAGCAAATTTCGTTACAGTACACAGTCTGTTAATACAAGTCATTAATATCAGTTGTAAGAAAAGATGTAACATACACACTTAACATCGAACCATAGAATCCCTACAGCGTTGAAGCAGACCTTTCAGCCCATTGCATCCAGACCGACCCCCCAATCAGCATCCCACTCAGACCCACTGCATTTCCCATGGCTAACCCACCTAAATCAACACATCCCTGGACATTATGGACAATTTAGCACTGCCAATCCACCTAGCCTGCACATCTTTTGACTGTGGGAGGAAACTGGAGCACCTGAAGGAAACTCACACAGACTCCGGGAGAACGTGCAAACTCCATGCAGACAGTCACCCAAGGGTGAAGTCAAACCTGGGTCCCTGGCCATGAACAGAAAAAAGTGGCAGAGAGGATACACTTCTGTACCATTACTGGTATATTACAAAGCATACTGATCACGGTCTGGGGATAAGTGAGAATGGAAGACACCTGTATCAAGGAAAGGAAATCCTGGATTTCTACCACTGAATGCAAAACTGCATTTTAGTTTTCAGCACTGGTCCATGAAAATGCAATCAACTCTTAGCCTCTTCTTCCCCACTCTAAAAATAATACAATTAGCTACATAAATGGTAAGAATGTCACATCCCAAAAAGAAAGACTATCACAGCCACAATTTTAGGTACGTCTTGACATTTGTGAACAATGTTACAATTTCCATGCAGTGCCTCTAGATGGCGCAGTCTACCACAAGCAGCACATAAAACCGACTAAATTCTGCACCTTGAAGTATAAGCGCACCCAGGGTCATCAATTCCAGTGGGGGTATTCTTGGAGATTTCATCACATGAAACCCAATGAAACACACTTTCCACATCGCCAATATTATTCCAACACAAGTTAAAATGTTCAAAGAAAATCACAATGGAAAAGAAGCTTTGTGTGTTTCTGGATTACTTAAGTAATCAGATTATTCTTCAAACTCTAAAGACTAGAGGACAATTCTGGAGGATTAGCAGCTCTCAGTGTAGCTAGTGTCAGCATCGGCTGAAGGAGGTCTGGTGTACACATCCCCCATGCTCTTGGTCTCAGGGTTACAAAAAAAGGTAGCGTTCCCTAATCGTACAAACCATGGAGTTGCCCATTTTATAAGGAGCGGAGGATCATCCAAGTGGATTTGTGCCTTTCCAGTTTAATGGAAACACTGTAAAGTGGTTCACACTGAAATGAATATGCTTCGAGATGCAGTTTGTTTCTTTGTAAGCAAATGAGCAGCCAAATTGTGCACATGAAGGCCACACAATATCAAAAGGAGTGATCTATTCACCGAATTCAGTGAGCTTTTGAGTGATGAATGTTGCTTGTGTATCCAGAGGTTACTGCTCTTCTCCAGATAGTAATAAAAGCATATTTTATCCTGGACACAGTGATACCATGCCTTATACAAAGTTTCATGGTCGAGAATTTCCTAGGTCATTCGAAACCCTATTTCCCATCCTAAACAGACAAAGAGGTTCAGATCTCAAAACTTCCTGGATGACAGCCTCCTGTTTGGGAACAGCAGCGACCAATGTAGCCAGCAGCATCAGTGAACAGGAAGGCCCATTCCCTTTTTCAACAGTTAGTGCCAGATTCTGTATATTAAAAGTCCTGAAGCCACTTTGACAGGTACTGTGAAAGGCATGCAAGTGTTGGGGTAGTATGGGTCGTGGTTACGGTGAGATGAGTGCTTAGGATAGATAGGTTTAGGTGGGGCAGGTAGTCTCAGGTGTGGAGGAATAGAGGAGTGGTTTGAAGTAGTGGGGATGGAGAGGTGGCTCAGTTTAATGTTAGCCAGGAATTAGAGTAGATTTTTAATCTTCTAACGCTTCCTGGGTAACTGTAAAGCTTACATGAGTCAGACTGCCCTAATACCTCTGATTCTAATGAAGTTTCTTCAGAAAGAGTTCCAGACATTGGGTAATTGTCCCAAGGAAATTTTGACTTCTGGGAATTCCCACAAAGTTAGGTACATCAGCATTTTCACATGGAATACAACACCAATTACCCTACAGAAACAAACGTCTGTCCATTGGAATATCTACACTGGTGTTAATTGTTTTACATTTAAATTCTGAACAAAATATCCTAGCCATATATCTGATCCTGTTTTGCCTTTTCTGTACCTGCAATAAACATGACATACAAATGAACAGAGACAACAAGGTGCAGGGCTGGATGAACACAGCAGGCCCAGCAGCATCATAGGAGCAGAGAGGCTGACGTTTCGGGCCTAGACCCTTCATCAGAAAAGGGGGAGGGGAAGGGGGTTTTGAAATAAATAGGGAGAGAGTGGGAGGCGGATAGAAGAGGGATAGAGGAGAGGATAGGTGGAGAAGAAACAAACAGGTCGAAGAGGCGGGGATGGGGCCAGGAAAGGTGAGTGTAGGTAGGGAGTTAGGAAGGGGATAGGTCAGTCCAGGGAGGACGGACAGGTCAAGGGGGCGGGATGAGGTTGGTTGGTAGGAGATGGAGGTGCGGCTTGAGGTGGGAGGAGGGGATAGGTGGGAGGAAGAACAGGTTAGGGAGGCAGGGACGAGTTGGACTGGTTTTGGGATGCGGTGGGGGGAGGGGAGATTTTGAAACTTGTGAAATCCACATTGATACCATTGGGCTGCAGGGTTCCCAAGCGGAATATGAGTTGCTGTTCCTACTATCTCTGATACAAATGAATAGGTTTATTCCCTGCCTGCAGAACTCCATGCCTAGACAGGCACTACACAGTTATCCAATGCTAATCAACACACAGTTTATTTTACATATTTATCTACACAGTAATATTTCTGGCAAATCACATCTTGGGTCAGTAGATGACCTCACATTGTTGAAAATAATGAAACATGTGATCTGTAACTTTTGGACAAGGTTTCTTCTGGACTCAAACTCTGGTCCCTTGTCCATTTCTCCTACTGGTAACTGGCCAAGGTTAACCAAGTTGCTCACAACTATGGCATCATATTTGGCCCAGAGACGAGATTCTGGCCACATATACACACTATGATAGCCAGTAATATCACTCAGCTTCACCATGCCTCAACCCATCAGTTTCTAAAAGCCTCATCCACGCCTTTATCATCTCTAGACTTCACTATTTCAACACAATCTTGGCTAACCTCTCATGTTTTATATTGTATAAATTTGAAAACCATCTACAATTCTTTTTGCTTATTATAAATGTTAGTATAAATCATAGCAACATTATGTGATACAAGTCAAAGATCATAGAGTCATACAGCATGGAAACAGATCCTTCCGTCCAACCAGTCCATGCCGAACATAGTCCCAAACTAAACTAGTCCCACCTGCCTGCTCCTGGTCCATATCCCTTCAAACCTTTCCTATTCATGCATTTATCCAAATGTCTTTTAAACATTGTAATTGTACCCACATCCACCACTTCCTCAAAGGTCATTCTACACGTGAACCACCTTCTCCGTGTAAAACATTTACCCCTCCTCTCTCCTTTCACTTTAAAAATGTGCCCCCTAGTCTTGAAATCCCCATCTGAGGGAAAAGACAACTACCAATAACTCCATCCATATCCCTCATTATTTTATAAACTTCTATAAGGTCACCTCTCAATCTCATACACTCCAGTAGAGAAAGCCCCAGTTTATCCAGCCTTTCTTTATAACTCAAACCTTCCATACCGAGAATGAATCCTGATTTTAGACATTTTGGTTGAAGGTGCAACAAAATCAATTTGAAATTAAATTTTACTTTGACAAGTACTGAGGGCAAATTGCAAATACTTGAGTTCCATGTACCTGGAAAAAGACAATTTTCTCACCTTGATCTTTGTGTTTCAATTAACTTCGCAAGTCCATTGATTGACCTGAAATATAAATGCTCAGGTTATGATACTCTGCAACCATGATGATATTAAGCAGGAAAAATATAAATCAAAACATTCTGGATGTTTTTGTTGTCTCCAAAACACTAGGGAAACTGGACCTTAATTGATATCAGTTTGAGGAGCATCACCCTCCTGTCAGGAAACAGTAGAGACCAGTCTAGCCAGTAAAGTTGATGAGCATGAAGCAATGTTTTCCTTTTCAGCGGTTAGTGATATATTTTGTAGATTAAATGACTTGAAGCCAGTTTGATAATCAAAATAAAGCTATCTTTCCAAATCACTTTTAATTTGGTACCACACACCTGATCTTTCTTTCATGGTCAAAGCAGGATTGTTGTAGTAAATGCTATGATGGAATATTAGTGAGGACAATTCAGAGGCTTGTGCTCTGTCACGGTGGTACAAATTAATTTTTTTCCAACGGTAAATAACTTTCCCCATTTCCTTTTCTGGTGCAGTTTCCATCTTACATGTCATTTGTCTTTTCTTCTTTGCTCATACGTCTGTGTTGGCTGATGCAATCACAAGAACAGCTGTCACCACCAAAAACTATTTAAGGGATGCTTTTTTTTTTAAAAAAAAAGGCCAAAAGATTGAGCTTCAACCCACAATCTTGACAGTGAATGTGTTTTTATGCAAGTGACACAATTCAAAACCTTGCAAGCACAAATAGCACACAAAAGGAACAGGTAATTGAAGTGTTTGAGGCTGGATAGTGATTCATCTGGTTTTATTTCACACAGTTTGGCTTTCAACCTCTGTCCCAGAGTAAGATGCTCCAATATCCTGTGTTTTGAATAAATGTAAATCTTCCTTTTCTTTGTACTATTATTATTACAGACTGTGAGCTGGGTGTGTTGTACTTGGAACAGTTGTGTGGTGGAGTTTTCAGAATGTAAAAGGAGATACGCAGATTTTGTACATAGCCCTTCCTACTGGCTTAGAAGGGTATTATTTTCCTGAATGAGGTTTGAATTAGGAAATGTACAACTAGACAGAGAGTAACGACTTAAAGCCACTTCAACCTGTGCAAACCTATGCTTTTAAAAAGGATTTGGAACTCATTTAGGATGATTCTGAAACTGTACATAAACTGTGACATCCCCTTGAAAAGGTCTTCTTTTTGGACACAATCATATTGGTGCTTATTGGTACTCTACATTCTCCTCTTGTATTCAAATCACTGGGTTTAAATCTCGTGGAACTGTCAATTTTTCCCCTGGTAGGCACTCCACTAACCAGTGATGGAAAACTGTACATGTTTAATCTAAAGAGGCCAAACATATATTTCATGAAGGTGAGACGAAACAAGATGCACACAGTAAATTGGAGACCCTGAGATGTTGATATAGGCAGTTCTTAAACTCATAATAAATGCTGGCTTGTGTAGAGGTTCGCAGCATGGGGCAAACAGTGAATAGTATTCCCAAGCTCTGTCTGTTGGGAGCAAATAATTGCAGTCACATCATTACATAGTAGAGAATTTACACCAAATCCATTTTGTACCTGATTGGAAAGGAGAAAAGCTAAATTCTTCACATGGAAAGTATTAAACATTGTGGCTTCTATGGACAGAGAAATACAATTTTCACCCTTCAACAGCTCTTCCCTCCTCAGAAAGAAATCTAACTTACAATTGTAACTGAATTAGCACATGTCTAATCCTTTGAAAAAACTCTGCTAAGTATCAGAGTGATTTAACTTCCATCTTATACTTACTGCTATGCCTGAATTTTGACTTCAAGTTTGTTCCCTGAATAAACAAAGCAAACAAACTAAACTGTTAATTGATTTATTCACTAAAAATGACATGTGAGATTCAGGTTCATGTATATTTGTGGGTAGATTAGTTTTTAATAAATTTGCATTACTTCTCTCTATGGACTTGTTCACCTTTCCTAAATTACACCATGGTCTTAATAGAAGCAGTGCACTGGCTATAAAGCAGTTGGGCCTGAGATCATGAAAAGCACCATATGAATGTAAGCATTTTCCTTCATAGGCTGCAAAACAGTATTGCACTACAGAACGTTGTTACTTTAAATTCATTTGTGGGATGTGGGCATCGCTGGCTGGCCAGCATTTATTGCCCACCCCTAGTTGCCCTTGAGAAGGTGGTGGTGAGCTACCTTCTTGAATCGCTGCAGTCCACCAGCTGTAGGTTGATTCACAATGCTATTAGTGACGGAATTCCAGGATTTTGACCCAGTGACAGTGAAGGAACGCCAATATATTTCCAAGTCAGGATGGTGAGTGGCTTGGAGGGGAACTTGGACGGGGTGGTGTTCCCATATTTCTGATGCCTTTGTCCTTCTAGATGGAAGTGGTCAAAGGTTTGAAAGGTGCTGTCTGAGGATCTTTGGTGAACTTCAGCAGAGTATCTTGTAGATAGTACACACTGCTGCTACTGAGCGTCAGTGGTGGGGGGAGTGGATGCTTGCAGATGTGATGCCAATCAAGCGGGCTGCTTTGTCCTGGATAGAGTCAACCTTCTTGAGTGTTGTTGGGGCTGCACTCATCCAGGCAAGTGGGGAGTATTCCATCACACTCCTGACTTGTGCCTTGTAGATGGTGGACAGACTCTGGGGATTCAGGAGGTGGGTTACTCACTGCAATATTCAGAGTTTCTGACTTGCTGTTGTAGTCACTGTGTTTACGTGGTAAGTTCAGTTGAGTTTCTGGTCAATGATAACCCCCAGGATGTTGATAGTGGGGGATTCAGTGATGGTAACACCATTGAATGTCAAGGGGTGGTGGTTAGATTGTCTCTAGAGCACAAGTCTTCAGTACTATTGCCAGAATGTTGTCAGGGCCCGTAGCCTTTGCAGTATCCAGTGTCTCCAACCGTTTTTTGATGCCATGTGGAGTGAATCGAATTGGCTGAAGACTGGTATCTGTAATGCTGGGCACCACTGGAGGAGGCCGAGACGGATCATCCACTCGGCATTTCTGACTGAAGATTGCTACGAATGCTTCAGCCTTACCTTTTGCACTGATGTGCTGGGCTCTTCCATCATTGAGGATGGGGATATTTGTGGATCCTCCTCCTCCAGTGAGTTGTTTAATTGTCCACCACCATTCATGACTGGATGTGGCAGGACTGCAGAGCTTAGATATGATCCATTGGTTGTGGGATTGCTTAGCTCTGTCTATCACTTGCTGCTTTCGCTGTTTCGCATACACGTAGTCCTGTATGATGGTTTCACCAGGTTGACACCTCATCTTCAGGTATGCCTGGTGCTGCTCCTGGCATGCCCTCCTGCACTCTCCATTGAACCAGGGTTGATCCCCTGGCTTGATGGTAATGGTTGAATGGTCTGGAAGGTGGATATCTAATTACGAAGTGTAAAAAAAAAATAAATTTTTTTGAAAATTTAAGATAAATGGAGAGGAAAATTTGGACAGGGTCCTTAATGGTTTCCAATCCATCGTGACTCATTTTGAAGCATTATTAGCAAAGATGACAAGATAAACAAAGATTTGCATGGAATAGTAGTCTAAAAAAATTACTATGTGTGACAAGTGCAACTTTGGCAAGAATGAACCAGAAACTGCGGTAGTTCATTCTCATTAGCCAGAAAAGATATGCCTCCCTATCAACTGGATTAAAAAGGTGAAACAGCCTAGAAGCAGGGAAAAAAAATATCAATGCACTGCAAGTGACATCTCACATTACTTTCATATACTTCAACACATTTGGTGGCAAAAAAACATTTTGTTGATATCATGCTTCAATTCAGATTTTAAGAGAGTTATTCTTATAATAAAACAGAGAATTATGGATACTGGGGATCAGAAACAAAAACAGAAATTGCTGGCAAAATTCAGCAGGTCAGGCAGTATCTGTGAGGAGAAAGCAGAGTTAACATCGAGTCTGATCATGCTTCATTAGAGTCTGGTGCTTTGTTAGCCAAAAGCATATTCAAAATTTCCGTGCCTGATACTAAATATGATCATAATGTCCTTCATTACCTTACAGCAGTTTTCAAATCTTCCAGCTCCTCTTGTTGAACCAGGTCAGTTTTGTTAATAATAATAAGGTCACCAAGAGCAATCTGTCTAAATACAACAACATGATACAGGTCAATCAACTCCAAAAAGATTTAGGAGAGTAAACATAATCAATGAAGTCCACTGATGTACATGGATTTACAGAATATTCCGTTGGCAGGAATTATATCTGGTGTGAGAAATAGATGAAAAATAAGCTACCATTAATAAATTGTTGAAATATTTTATGTATGATACTATATAAAATGTTTTCACTGGCAATCTTTTAGCAAATTAAAATTAAATATATTGCCAGCATACCATGCTTTCTTAAAACAGCTTTACAATATGTAGTCTTTATAAAAATAATTTTGGTCTAGGTGTCCAAAATGCGGTTATTTGAGAAAGAAAATAAAATACCTGGCTGCTTCATTAACCAGGCCTTCAGGTTTCTCTTCTGACAGATGCTGTAGGAATGCAAAGTAACTTGGTAAATTCGATGTGCAGATGGCATTGACCAACTTTTCTTCATTATAGGGAACAATTATCAGTAAGATAATGTACCTTCAGTGACTTTTCCAATAAACCTGGCTGTTGTGGTGCAGTGGTAGTGTCCTTAGCTCTGAACCAGGAGATCTGGGTTCAAGTCACACCTGCTTCAAAGGTGTGGAAGAAAATCTCTGAACAGTTTGTTTAGAAAATATCTATAAATCGGTCGAATGAGTCCTCCTGCACCACTTAATTTCCTCTTGATGATTTTGATTGGGGTCTGGAAGTAGGCTACTTAACTGCACTTTCAACTGAGCAGGGAAATCACAGAATCACAATCGTTATGGTGCAGAAGAGGTCATTTGGCCCATCTTATCTTCCTCAGTTCTCTGATCATTTTGACTTACTGCCAATCTCCTGCTTTTTCCCCCATTTCCTTGCACATTAGATGATTATTTAAATAGAAACAATGACCTCTTGAATACCTCAATCGAACCTGTCTCTAGGCAGTGTATTGCTTATCTTAACTACTCATTGTATCAAAAAAGTCAGATTTTCCTCTTCTATTAAATCTCTATTCTCAATCTTCTTATGAATGGGAACAGTTTCCACAAACCATTCTGTCCAGAACCCTCATGATGTTGAAAACTTCTCTCAAATCTCCTTTGGCTTTCTCCTCTCCTGGAGGATAGTCCCAACCTCTCCAATGTATCCTTATGACTGAAGTTTCTCATGCCTGAAACCATTCTTATAAACCTCTGACATGTGATCCATCTCAAATGCTCCACTGCGTGGGACCCAAATATTTCATCAATACTCCATGTGAAGTTTAACTAATGCCGTATATAAGTTCAGCATAACTTCCATGCTCTTGTACTCTATACCCTTATTAATGAAGCCCAGAATACAGTATACATTATTAGCAGCTCTCTCTACCGATCCTGTCACTTTTAATGACCTGTGCTCTACTTCTGCAGCTCCTTTAGAATCGTACACCATCTAACCACATCCTTTGCACTGAGATATATCGTCTCACACTTATGCACATTAAACTTCAATTGGCACCTGTCCACCAATCCACTAATTTGTCAATTTCCTCCTGAAGCTCTACACAGTCGTCCTCCAAGTATGCAATGCTCTCAGTTTTTGTATCATCTGCAAACTTTGAAAATGTCCTATGCATACAAAGATCTGTACATATATCAGAAAAAGCAAGGGTCCTAATACCAATTCCTAGGAAACTCCATGACTAGCCTTACTCCATTCTGAAAGATACATATTGGTCATTGCTTGCTGTTTCTTGTCTGTCAGCTAATTTTGCAGCCAGGTTGCTGAAGGGTTCTTGTAGCACAGTGGTAGCGTCCCTACCTCTGGGTGACAAGGCCTGGGTTCAAGATCCACCTGCTCCAAAGGTGTACAGTCAGCTGTACAGCATGGAAACAGATCCTTCAATCCAACTCGTCCATGCCAACCAGATATCCTAAATTAATCTACTCCCATTTACCACTATTTGACCCATATCCCTTTAAACCCTTCCTATTCCAATACCCATCCAGATGCCTTTAAGATGTTGTAATTGTACCCAACTCCACCATTTCCTCTGGCAGCTCCTTCCATACACACACCACCCTCTGCGTGAAAAAGTTGCCCCTTAGGTTCCTCTTAAACCTTTCCCCTCACCTTAAACCTATGCTCTCTAGTTTTGGACTCCCTTACCCTGATAAAAAGACCTGAACTATTCACTCTATCCATGCTCCTCATGATTTTATAAACCTCTATAAGGTCACCCCTCAGCCTCTGATGCTCCAGGGAAAAAAAGCCCCAGCCTATTCAGCCTCTCTCTATTACTCAAACCCTCCAGTCCCAGCAACATCCTTGTAAATCTTTTCTGCATCCTCTCAAGTTTAACAACATCCTTCCTATAGAAGGCCGTCTAGAATTGTATGCAGTATTCTAAAAGTGCCCTCACCAACATTCTGTAGAGCCACAACATGACATCCCACCTTCTATACTCAAAGTTCTGACCAACAAAGGCAAGCACGCCAAACACCTTCTTCACTATCCTGTCTACCTGCAATTCCACTTTCAAGGAACTATGCACCTACACCCCTAGGTCTCCTTGTTTAGCCACACTCCCCACGGTCCTACCATTAACTGTATAATTCCTGCCAACTCTGGACAAGTTGTTTTGAAAATATCTGTATCCAGCTTGGTACTGCCCCTTTCATTCCATGAACTATGGCAAAAGCATAAAATCAATGAAAGGGTGAGGGCTTTAACCCACCATTGAATGAAAGGAAATAGGCTCAAACTCTCAATTCTTCCCATTCTGAGTTTCGGAGTGAGTCTCTCTGAAAAGCAATGCTTTAGGCAAGATCCTTCATCATAATGTGTATGGTCAGGGAAAGAACCTCTAACCATAGCAGTTCTGAGGAAGGGTCACATTCAAAAAGATTAACACATCCTTCTCTTTCAAAAGCTGATTAAATGCTATAATTAGACCTTGGCTAATGCTACTTCCCCCACCCAGGATTCAACTTCTCTTTTGTTTATCTATCTGCACTGTTACATTTTTGTTTTCAGTCATTCAGCTGCAAGGAGGCACAAGACGATACCATGAGCTTTCCCAAAGAAGTGGGAAAGATAATTTCAGGTGAGGGCCCACAGAATGGTTCCAAAGTTCCTAACTGCAATTTATTAAGCAAGCTTGGGCCTGGAACAATTCTTATCTAACCTTTTATGTCCTGACTACTTTAGTAACATGCTTCATTATGAAAGAAGGAAGGGAATAGGCAAAATAGATATGGTTATTTACAAAGAAACTTGGAAGCCTTTCCAGTAAAGATCCAAATCATAATATGGAAAAAGAAGTCAGTTGTTAACCCTTTGCATGATTCCGAATAAAATAAAACTAAACTAAATTAATTTTAAAAAAATGAACACAAAGACTTATCACCACTTCTGGAACAAGAACAAACTCCATTATAGAGAAGGATCTACAATAGAACATAGAACAGTACAGCACCCTGCAGGCCCTTCGGCCCACAATGTTGAGCCAACCTATTATCCTACTAAGATCAAACTAGCCTGCATACCCTACATTATACTATCATCCATGTGCCTATCCAAATTAAATGTTTCTAACGTATCAGACAATCTCCTGCATCTTAAGTGAACTACCTCAGCAGTGCCACTGTAGTGATGTGTCAAACCAGGAGAACATTTATTCAACATGCAAAACAAAAAGGAAAACAAACAGAAAGTGTGCTCCCATGTCCTTGCAGTTATTTTCACAGATATTAGCCAATATGGAGGACAATTAAGGATCGCCAATAAATGCTGATCTTGCCAAAGACAAAGACAATCACGTGCTAAGAACAAGTAACAAAAAAGTTTAAAAAAAAGCCTTATTATGTCATTTGAATTTTTGACCAAAGGTGATACTTGGGATTAGAAGTTCTGAAAAAGGCGGCAAGGTAAAAAGTTGGAAAAATAATTATTTCCTTCCCATTTAGAATGAAAATAGGTATGTTTATAAAATGAATATGCCGCACAAAACTGTAGAATCTTTGAGAAAAGCGACCATAACTCAGTCACGACTTCGTCACAAATGAATTTCTAGAATATTTTAATTTACCTTCTACATGTACATGTAAAATTATAACCGAGGTCACAAAATCTAAGTCATTCAAGCAAGACACCGAGATTGTATTGCAAAAAAACTTTTCGTACAGAAAAACAGACAATTTAGCCCAACAAGTTCCTGCTGGTAATGCAGCTCCCACTAATATAGAGTGAGTTAGAAGCAAAATGATCAAACAGCTATACTCCTTCAGTGACAAAAATTTCTCTGACTGGGGGCCGATGGAAACAGGCACTTGCTAATGATCGAAGAAGGCATGAAAAAGCCACTGCAGATTCAAAGTAATAAATTTACAAAAGAATTAAACTGGAAGATTAACAAAAATTGTGATGCAACACCCATGTCAAAGGTGCTGTCCAACAGCAGTTTTATTTCAGGGTGGATATATTTAGTTTGATAACTAAATAAAAAGAAAACTTGAGAATGAAGGATACCTGCAGAAGTTGTAAGCTTGTAGAATCGGGTTACTTATTTGATTTTCAAATTATCTAACCAACAAAGAAGGAAATTATAAATTGCTCACATTAGGCTAGCATATTTTGCTAATCTTGCTAGCAAGCACTTGCCAAACTACAAAGCTAGAAAGTTTCCCCAGTCATTTGGCCCTTGAATTTAACCTCACTGACTTTCTCTTATGTTGCAATTCTAGTGGTAATTCAATTCAAGACTATTTCCACTTAAATAATCAAAGTCAACTTGTACAATATCAATACAGAAAATAAAAAAAAAAACACCTTTCCCTGACCTTCTTTATATAAATTCTTTGTTCATTAATTCTTTCCAATTGAATGTTGCCAAGATTTTAAAGCCAAATTACAGAAGAACTGTTGCTCTGGCCTAAATGCCAGGCCCTTGGAGTCAAAAAGCTGTCATTTGCACTTGTCCAATCATTTGTCTGTGATTAGGAAATTAATATTTTAGATCACTAGGTGACAATCCCATTTCCGTGATAGGCCCTGATTTCAATTATCATTTCAGTTTCAATTTAACTGGCTGAGCACACAACAGCTCTCCCAGCTTCAGCTGTGATGGGTGTAGTCTGTGAAGCATGACACATTCCAATTGCTACCTATTTACCGAGATGTCATCACTTGTAGTGACATCAAAACTCTTTAAACGCTAAGTAACTGGCAGAGGTCAAGCATCAGGAGTTAGAGAGGTGGACAAGTTGCCAAATTTTCATTCCTAACTGAGAAGAAAACAAAAGCTCAGATATTTCAAGTCATAATTGAAATGCAGCAGCTTTCTCTAAGTCTGTCAACTTGTCATTTTTTCAACCTGGATTCTGCATTTTAAGAAATAATTTCATCTAGTCTACATATGTATTTAACAATT